ACACACACACACACACACACACACACACACACACACACACACACACACACACACACACACACACACACACACACACACACACAAACACACAGTTTCAAGTATGACCCAAACTTGTGCAAGGGCTTTCTCTCTCCCCTCACACACACACGCACCCTGCATGTGTCCCTAAGACATGCATAGGTACATAGTAGAATTATAAAGACAAAGGACACACACACACACACACACACGCACCCTGCATGTGTCCCTAAGACATGCATAGGTACATAGTAGAATTATAAAGACAAAAGACACACACACACACACACACACACACACACACACACACACACACACACACACATATTGTTCAAGATGTTTCCATCTGATGAGCCAGATTCAGTAGAGGGTGCTGCTCCCTGTTTAATTGGATGATGGGTTTATCTAATACATGTAAGCGTAAGATTACCTAAGTAGACATGTGTAGAACTTCCCAGTCAAAAAATCGATGTCAGGAACCTTGCGCTTGGTTCCTCCGCTTCTTTTATTCCTGACAGCTACCGCAAAACATTCAGACACTCTTAAGCCACCACACCCCTGGCCACAATGCACAGGTCGCCAAAATGCACTCAATGGCCACAGGACAGGTTGGCCCGCTGTCTCCCGGGGTGGGGGGCAGCAGCAGTGCCCAAATTGCTTAAGCGTGCCGCAGAGATTTTCCACACTCAGAATTGTTGCCAAAAAATAGCCTGAAAAATCATGGCCATAGATTGAGTGCTGATGTTTTTGGAAAAAACTACTAGCAAATTCGGGATGATGAAAAAGATTCCGGTGGCAAAATTCACATCTTTTTCCTCCCTGCTGCTACCGGTAGGCCCATAACTTTTTCCATTAGTGCTCCACGCTCGAGTCCTTATCTATCAGTCAAATGTGTCCTCAGCTGAGTGCCGAGGTTCAACATCTGGATGAGTCTGCAGAAGTCCAACAACACAGTCTTTTTGAGTTGTGTTCAGTCAATATACACAGGTCATCATTTGACAATCTGCTCTCTTGTCTGTGCATTCCAAGATACTTGCGCTGCAAGCACCACGCAAACACGTTCACCAATCAGCATGACACTTCTAAGTGATGACAGATGAGTAAGAAAGAGATCAGGATGCATCATACATGCGGCGCGTCCCATGTGCACAAGTTGCGCCCGTGCGGCGCATAGGCAACCACACATATGAGCTTCCACGTGATGCGGTGCAAGTGCAGATTAAAAAAGTAAAAAAGGGCAGGCTGTGCTAGCCAAATGTGCCCCTCCCTTCTGACAATCGTAAGTGCACAGGAAAACAAAAATGGGGCGCACCGTACTCCTCATTGGATCGATTCTCTCTTCCAAAGGGCCCCCAGCACAGAATTGGCAAGCGTCCCATTTCCTTGGAGAGACGTTCATCGAATTGCTGGTGGAACTCGAGAAGGCCAGCAATATACATGATCTACATTCGAATTCAGGTCAGTGTTCCAGAAGTTATGGGTTACTTACTACTACTAATACAGTAGCTCTCTCTTTTTTTGTTTTTCCTTTTCTTACGTGCAGTGGCCCTAAGGGCCTCGCTCCACTAGTCACCACTTGCACAAACGACAAAGCATATGGGGGCGTATAGTTCCAGTTTCTAGCAGAAGATTCATTCTAGTTTTGCACATTTGGTGAGTAGTGGAGTGAAGCCCTGAAAATCACATGCCGAGTTATTAGGTTAGTAACCCATAACTGCTGAAACGCGGACCTTAACTCGGAGCTACACCATATATAATTGGCCTGGTACAGCCTTCACTATACGTCCAACGACAACTACCCTTTCCTTGGCGAGGAATCCCTTGCTAATTCTTGGCAGGCGCCTTCCGGAGAACCCGCAGGGGTTTTCTGAATAATTATGTGAAAGGGCTCTTTCTCTCTCTTATATATATATCGTCACAAATAGAACTGCCCGGTAAACCGTAGGCAGAGAGAGAGAAGAGGACAACAAACGAGGGGCTGTGACAAACTGTTTCGTCGGAGTTTCACCGACTCATCAGGAGGCTGAACCCTCAACAGTCTGCAGAATCCCCTCACTGATTACACTGTAAATGATAATCTACCTTAACCAAAATCAAAGTAGACTATCACTCACCCACACCAGATGGAAAACTCTACAGACTTATATATATATATATCTATTTGTGACGATATATATATATATATCGTCAAATAGAACTGCCCGGTAAACCGTAGGCAGAGAGGGAGAAGAGGACAACAAACGAGGGGCTGTGACAAACTGTTTCGTCGGAGTTTCACCAACTCATCAGGAGGCTGAATATATATTGTGCGCGGGCGCATATACACACATCATGGCCGCTTTTCTTTATTTCTTCTTCATCTCTTTTTTTTTTTTTTTCCTGCATCAGCGATCAGCGCAGCACAGACCACACATATACGCCACAAGTATGGTCTGCATGAATGACAGAGGCCCACAGAAGGCTGTCAGCGCTTCAGGGGGTAATTATCTGGCATTCCTACCCGGCTGCACACTTCAACTTGGTTAAGACTTCTGGTCTCCAGAGATCAGAGATGAGTGACAACACTGACAAGCCATCCCTTAAGATCAGAAAAACACTGGTCTTGGGTGACGGCTACAAGCACAGTGGTACCTGCACAAGGTGCTTGCCAGTTAAATTCTTAACTGCAGAAGCCCTGTTGGTCTAAGTCAGTCAATGTTATTTGCCGCAGTTTTTTGTACATCCTCAGACGGCCTACACGAACTGAAGTCTAGATAGATTTCCTGTTTCCTCGCCCCAATGAGAGAGAGAGAGAGCTCCCACACAAGACCAGTCGCTGGTCCAGTTGAAATCCTTTCGGACGTTCAGCGACACACAGCAATTTCTGAAGCTAAAAAGTGAAGATCCAGTGCTGCTACGCGCTGGGGAGGCCACTAACCACAGATAGCAAGAATCAATGACATCTTGTTCCCCCGAAGAAAGTGCCCGGTCATTACAGTAAATACAGCTAGAAATGACTGAGGGTTGTGTTCGGGGAGGCACGTTTCGCACGAGGAAAACAGGCAAAGATTGTGCTAATTTTTTCTCGAACAAGGAAGTATCTAGAGGGTTTTCTCAAAAGCATCAAGAAAAACTATTATTTCTGCAGAGAGAGCTTCAAAACAGGAGGAAGTCGACATGCTGAGGCTCAAACGTCATCGAAACGCCGCAAAGCAGAGGTCAAATTACGAACGAGCATCCCACCTTGCTAGCTGACCTTTGCAATCCTTCAGCCGCTTCTCCAGTGACTCCACGTCCTGTTCACTGCAAACACATGACAACTCAGCTGCCTGCTTAAGTGGCCCGCCATCACCACCACCACCCACACCATGGCCCACACCACCGAAGAGAAAGAATCGATTATCGATTCCTTTCAAACTCGGCAGCATAACCTTCAGCAAACATCACATGAGTGAGCACAACTGCAATGAACCTTGCAGTTTCTGAGCGAGCTTCACATACCGCGTCGTTTTTGCAATTTCATTTAGTTTTGCGCCCTAACTGGTAACCCTCACAGGCCTTGTCCTGGGGAGTTTTCTGCAAATTTCTGGAATGTCCCACGCCCTAACCTTTTCTCTTCTCACTGGGACTGGTAACGAGGAAAACAGGCCTTGTTGCTTTGCTGGGTCCTGGGTCTTAGGCTAGGTCCGGTAGGCTATATAGTCTAGGCTAGAAATAGTTTGGTACCGATGGGATTGGGGTTCTTTCTCGTTTAATTTGTTGGGGAGATGCTGGCTGTTCTTGAGGTGAATGCCAGTGTCCTGAAAGGACGAAGACGACACCCATAGCTGGGGCGGCACATCAAATGGACGGGCAGCAATACAGCAGGTGCTGCACCGCTGCAAATGGCGATATCCACCTGGGGAACGTGAGGTGAGTTAGGTGCTGCCAAAGGTTCTGCCCCACAACAGCCATACTTCTGTCCTTTTCAAAAGGGTGCTTCTCCTCCATCAGGGGAGCTGGCACTGCCCTCCTGTTGGGCACTGAACCTGTGAAACGGGTTTTCATGGGATTCCTGGTTGGCGCTTGGGAGTGAGAGGTGACGGCGGTGGTCTGCAAGTTCCGAAGGCTGGGCGCCGTTTGCTGAACAGCCGCCATAGCTAAAGGTTGAGCAGGGGTACTGGAGGAGGAAGTCACCATGCTTGTTTCAAATTTTAATTCTCTTTGCAGTCGGTGAAACATGGTTGAGATTCTGGAGGAATTGTAATCTGATTGCTTGGAGAAGGGAGGGAGAATAAGAATTGGAGTTCTACTTCAATTCTGTTCTTTTTGTAATTGAGCTTCCGCTGTCCATCTCCCTCAAGTTTACTTCATAATTGCATGCGTTCGTGGGAATGTGTGAAGTGTGTTGTGTATTGCATCTCAAACAGTTATACGACAGTTGGTATCAGAGCAGCAACCGTGTACGACGGGCAATCTTTCAAGCCGCAGTTGACAAGTTTTGGACCAGTGCTCGTCTTCTTCAGCGGATGCCACTGGTGAAAGGAAGTGAAGGGTTGGTGCATGTGGGGGCGAGATAAGAGAACATTCAGTGACCAGTCGCATGGAACGGTAATGGAAGTGGAGGCGAGTGTCCAGCATGAGCTGGCCTTGGCAGTTTTACTTGGATGTCAACCCTAAACTCTAATCGCCAGTAGACCTCAGGGTCTCACGACCCTCATCCTGTTGGGGGCTCGGTCTGCCCTAATTGGCCGGCCGCCAGAATGGGAGCAAGGGTCATCTCCACAAATTTCTGTGGCTGGGGAATTATTTCTCAAAACTTCGGTCGGACAAATTTTGCAGGAGATTGATAGAAAATTTCAACGATAATTTCACCCTGTATTACTGATTACACAGAAGGGCTGAGTTACTGGATAATTGACGGCCGTATTACTGATTACATCATTACACAGAAAATCCCAGAATGGATCCTGCTCATACTCTAGATCTGTTCACATCCTGGGAAAACCGGATCTCAGCATTGGGATCCAAAATATCATTCCATCAGTTCCCTCCTCCTCCTGTTCCCTCTCCTACTCCCCATTCTTCTGCCCATCCATCTCCTTGTCATACTACACTATCCAGCTCCTCACAGACTCCTAGATCAGGCTCGCCCAACAGCCAGCAGCCCATTTCCCCAAAAGGGAAGCCAGAGGTGGTCCTTGGGCCTGCGCCCAAAGGGGGAACAGCTGCCAGTGCAGTTCAGCCAGAGCAGCCGTTCCCCAAGATGGCCCAGCCTAACAAGTTCACAGGGGAAGACCCCAAATTGGAATCTCAAACTGGATAGCTCAGATGAAGTCTTACGTCAGGAGGTACTCCTGTCCAAAAGTGGACAAGGTGCGTGCCACAGCAACCCTCCTTGGAGGTGCCGCTTTGAAGTGGGCCAATTCTGAGGCCAACAAGGCCCAGAAACAGTTAGCTGATTGGACATCTTCAACAGGTCTGGATGCAGTCTTCCATGACATGGAGGAGAGGTTTGCTGACAAAGAAAGAGCCCAAAAGGCCACCGATGAGCAGATCAAGATCGGTCAGACTAAGTGGCAGGGATCCCTCTCACGCCTGTACTCAGAACGGGAGAAGCTGACCTCTACTCCCGGTTCGTCCATGTGAAAAGAGGACAAACTGAAGTGGTTTACCCGGGCTGCGCCGCAAGTGCCCTATATGTTGCTGGTTGTGGAGGCTTCTTCGTGTTCAGACCAGTTCCCAGAAGAAAACCACCTCCTCCTCGCAGAGCACGAGAAAGAGAAATGCGAAGATGTATTCCTTGCAGTCTGATGATGACTCTGCAGTCTCTGACCAGGGGGGAGCTGCTCCCTCAGCTCGTCAAGATACAGGAGCGTCAGCAGTCCAGGCTACTTTGATTCTGGGCCAGATACTTATGAGCCTTGCTAGAGGCTCAGGTCAGTTCCAGCCCCAGAAGTCCTCTTCTAGGGGGGGTCTAGCAAACGCCCCAAAGACCAGCAGAAACAGAACCTCCCAAAACTTGCCAAGTCTCCAGCTAATCCATGAATCCTGCCTCTTGTCCATGGTGAGATTTGGAGACCCCTGAGGGGACCTGCCAAAAGAGGAAGGACAATGGGGTTTGCCTCAGGAGCGAGGGCAAACATTTTGTTAAGGATTGTCCCACTTGGGGCAATATCTTTTCAAAAACTGAAGAGGCCAGCAGAGGTAAAAGCCACTCCTCCCGAACTGAATTCACCTTCCTTCTGAAGCTGAATCAGCTACTGAGCCTGATTGTGGTGAGGTTGCACCAGGCTCATTGTTTTCTTTCATTGAGCCTTTTGTTGATGATCCCTATCTGAGGAAGACTATGACCAGCTCTGTTCTCTTCACCTTCAGTTGAAGGTTAAGTGAAAATTGAAACTACACGGAATTTCATATTCCCAAATGGAGTTCGGAAACTCCATCTGGGACTCGAGGTCGCAAACCTTGTGCCCCCTTTGCATATCCAAGTGGGGAATTCCCAACTTGTGACAGTCCAACCCTCCAATTGACAAGGGGTTGTGCCAAGCATTCAATTAAAAAATGAGAAGGGCGAGTTAAGATGACGTGTCTTAGCAACAAACTATCACCGCAAGACAAGTTACCGCCTGAAGTCAAGGGGTTTTACAACCTGTCAAAACAAACTAATCATGGCAATTTCTTTATGGCATATGTCACACAAACTGATGATTCCTCTCCTCGGTGTCACCCCATCATTCAAAAGGTGATTGATGACTATGCTGACTTAGCTCAGGACCCTACTTGTCCGTAGGCAGACCAAGCATCACATTGAGATCCTCCTTGACTATACCATCCCCAAACAAAGAGTCTACAGGATGTCTCCTGCCGAATTGGATGAGTTGAGGAAGCAACTAGAATGCCTCCTACCGAATTGGACGAGTTAGGGAAGCAACTAGGATGCCTCCTACTGAATTAGGTGAGTTGAGGAAACGACTGGAAACACTAAATTAAGAAGGGATGGATCAGGCCTAGCTCATTTGAGAATGGGGCACCAGTCATCTTTGTTCCAAAGGAGTATGGTGAACTCAGGATGGGATTTGACTACAGAAACCTGGACAAACCCACTAGGAAGAGCTCAAAGCCCTTGCCTAGGATTGATGACCTTCTGGATATGGTGCAGTGCTGCAAAAGTCTTCAGCACAATTGATCTGACGTCCAGGTACAATCAGCTCGAAACAGTTGAGGAATATGTGCATAAGACAAATTAAAAACCTGGTATATAACCCATGAGTACCTTGTCATGCCCTCAAGTTTGTGCAATGCACCAGCTACCTTTCAGGCTGAAATAAACAAAATTTCCAAGCCATTACTTGATCATTTTGTTGTGGTCTGCGCGGATGACACCATGATGTTCCACAAGACTCTTGAAGACCATACCGATCGTCTCAGAAAACTTCTGCGGATTGTGAGACAACACACATACAAGATTAATAATAAAGAAAAGTTGTTGTTGTTGTTGTTGTTGTTGTTGTTGTTGTTGTT